CCAGTCGCCTCATAAAGGCTCCCCAAACGGAACATGAGCTCAGAGCTGCAACTCTTGAATCAGCCACTGTCATTCCCAAGTCCATTGGTCCAAATCCTTTTGCCCGTTTGCATTATTAGTTCTGTAAGGTTTTTCTTTCAATTGGCTCATTTTTTAAAACTTGGGGAAATTTATTTAAAATGGAAAATTCCGATCGCTCACTTAAAACAGAAAGCCACTATCATTTTCCATTAAGAGAAAGAGACCATAAAGTTGAATATAAGAACTGCAAAAAAAAAAAAAAAAGATTCTTAGACTTAAGCTAAGTCCTGTCTCTTGCTGAAGGCTCTGAACCGAGCCTGCTTTCTCTTCCTTAACAAGTGAGGGGTTAAAGACATAAAGGCTGTTAAATGAGACTTTCTCCCTAGTAATTGGAGGAACAGGAGAAAATCAAAAGGAAATACCTGTATCATGATATTCGATGTTACTTAATCAAGTCTGAAGACCCTAAACCCCCCTGGTGTACATTTTAGGTCTTGGAAGACACTGCCCTAATCCAATTCCCTTTTCCTATTTTACAGGGAAGAACAGTAAGGCTCCCAAAGGGGATGTGACTTGGGCACCATCTCACAGGGTCGGTGGCTTCAGCCACACCTGGGATCCAAGGAGAACTCTTTCTAAGGCATTGTTCTGCTTCTGTGGGAAGAACTTATAAAGATGGAAGCTTTAAGGACATCAATGGGGGGATCTCAGGTGCGTGCCAGGCACCAGCCAGGTGGGGTGGAAAGGAAAGAGGCAACCAGCTGCTGCCCTTGGCCCTTGGCTCCCCACGCCTCTTCTCCCTTGGAGCACAGCCTCTGTGTCCCTGTCCCCAGAGCTGAGGGCCAGCAGAACTACAGCAAATAGAAACACAGCCTGCTTGGGGCGCCTGGAGGGCTCAGGAGGCTGAGCGTCCGACTGAGTCTTGGTTTCAGTTCAAGTCACGATCTCCCTGTTTGTGGGATTGAGGCCTGTGTCCAGCTCTATACGGACAGCTCAGAGCCTGCTTCGGATTCTCTCTCTCTCTCTGCCCCTCCTCAGCCGGCGCTCTCCCTCTCTCTCAAAATAAATAAAAACTTTTTTTAAGTTAAAAAGAAAGAAAAAAAGAAACACAGCCTGCTTGGCTCAGAAACGAGGGTAGCAAGGATGTTCTAAGCCTGGAGAGAAGGAAATTCTTGAAAGCCGATTCTCTCTCTAGGAAAGTGCACATGTTTACATTTAACTGGGGAAGAGCGTTGATCACCATTTATTTTCTTTACATTTTAACAAATACTTACATAGCATTTATATTCCAGGCACTTCTCAGATGTTAAGTCATTTGATTCTCACGACAAACCAATGAAGTAGGTACTATTATTATTCCCATTTTTCAGATGAGGAAACTGAGGCACAGAGAGCTTAAGGAATTTACTTAAAATCTCATCACTTGGAAGTGGTAAGATTTGAACTCAGGAAATGTGATCTGACTCAAGGGTGCTTTAATGCATTTAATCCTGAGGACTACCCTGCAAGGAAAGGTGTAATTAATCCCACTTTATAGGTGCCGAAACTAAGGCTCAAGGCTATTTGGCATCTATGCTGTAAACCCAACAGGTCTTCACTTCTTTGCTCTATTGTCTGGATCATGAGCCGGGGATTCTTGCTCTAGGATGCTATTCAGTATGGTAGCCATTTACTACATGGAGCTATTGAGCATTTAAAAGATGGCTAAGTGGGGTACCTGGGTGGCTCAGTTGGTTAAGCGTCCGACTTTGGCTCAGGTCATGACCTGGCAGTTCATGGGTTTGAGACCCGCATCCGGCTCTGGGCTGTTAGCCCAGAGCCTGGAACCTGCTTCAGATTCTGTGTCTCCCTCTCTCTTTACCCCTCCCCAACTCCTGCTCTGTCTCTCTTCCTCAAAATTAAATAAACATTTAAAAATATTAAAAAGGAGTGCTTTGGTGGCTCAGTCGGTATAGCCTCTGACTTCGGTTCAGGTCATGATCTCACAGTTCGTGGGTTCGAGCCCCACATCAGGCTCTGTGCTGACAGCTAGCTCAGAGCCTGGAGCCTGTTTCTGATTCTGTGTCTCCCTCTCTCTCTGACCCTCCCTTGCTCACGCTCTCTCTCTCTCAGAAATAAATAAAACATTTTAAAAAATAAAAAATTTAAAAAATTAAAAAAAATAAAATATGGCTAAGAAACTGAAATTTTTCATGTGATTTAACTTTACTTTTAAAGCAAGTAAAACATTTTGTCCATTCAACACAATTCAATTGTTTTGGTAGAACAGTATTTTACTTTAAGCACTCACAATTTAGCTTCCATTCTCATTTATTTCCAAAGTATAAAATACCAGACTGAAGATATTAGTAGGAAAAAATTTTAGATTACATCATTAATAATTGTTTTATTTGTTGAAATGATAATATGCTAGATATATTGGATTAGTATATATTATTAACATTAATTTCACCTGTTTTTTTTTTTGTTTGTTTTTAATGTTTTATTTATTTCTGAGAGAGAGAGACAGCGTGAGCAGGGGAGGGTCAGAGAGAGAGGGAGACACAGAATCCAAAACAGCCTCCAGGCTCTGAGCTAGCTGTCAGCACAGAGCCCGACGCGGGGCTTGAACCCACAAACTGTGAGATCATGACCCGAGCCGAAGTCTGACGCTTAACCAACTGAGCCACCCAGGCGCCCCTCACCTGTCTCTTTTAAAAAGATTTTATTTTTAAGCAGTCTCGATGCTTAACATGAGACTCAAACTTCCAACCTTGAGATCAAGAGTCACAAGTTCTACAGACTGAGCCATCCAGGTTCCCCTCACCTCACCTGTTTCTTTTTATTCTTCTTTAAATAAATTAAAAAAAAATGTTTTAGAGAGAGAGAAAGAGAGGGGAGAGAGGGGCAGAAAAAGAGAATCTGAGGATAGCTCCCACGATCAGCCTCAGCCCGGGTGGGGGTTGGGGGAGCTGGAGGTGGGGCTTTGATAAGAGGCTCCTGGCTGTTGGGGGAAGGGCTCAATCCCACCCCCCCCACCCCCCCGGGGGATCATGACCCTGAGCTGCAATCAACAGTCAGCTGCTCAACCAACCAAACCACCCAGGCACCCCTCTTTTTATTTTTTAATGCCTGACTAGAAAATTTAAAACTACATATGTGGCTTATATTTTATGTTCCATTGGTCCAGAAAACTAGGATTTGACACACACCCCCAAAATGTGACAAGCTGCCCTCCCCAAACCTGGGAGTCAGTCCCGGGAGCTATATCCACTGGTCCAGGAGGAGGCTTTTGATGGCAAAGCTTCTACAATGTCCCCTGATGGTATAAGCGTTGGCATTAGTTGCCCCAAGTTCAAATCTCAAATCTGCTTCACACTACAAGGTAGGTGCTTTTGGGTAAGCCTCTCACCTTCACTCATCTGTAGAATAGAAGACATAGTGTCCCTCTCATGGTTCATCAGGTACTTCGGAGTCTTTGCAGTTACTTTTTCGGTGTCCCCTCAGATCTTTCCAATCCTCACCCCGTCTCTTCCTTAAGCTCTTAGTTTAAACATCACCTTCCCGACGAGCCCTACTGAAAATAGCCACCCAAATAGTCATATTTGCTACAGGACAAATCTGTCCTATTTCTCTATTCAAGAAAACACATGACATTTTTAATGAATTCTCAATGATCTTGGTTATTGATTTTATTTTCTGGATAGTGGTCTGTCTTCCCACTGACTTATAAGATCTTTGAGGGCAGGGATGGGTCAATCTTGTCACCGCTGAGTCCCCAGCACTTAGAACAGGGTCTGACACAACGTGGACAAAGTTAGGAATGGATGAGCAAAGCCAGCACGAGGAGCTCAGAAAACAGCCAACCCCGCTTTTCCTTGTCCCTTACGGCTGAGGGATTTTCGACCGGAGTCTAGACTTCCCTGGGGGAAGAAAATGAGTTCACTAGTCCCTCCCCGGCAGGGGAATCTCCGGGGTTAATTGAGATCCCAGAGTCCCCTGGTGTGCCCTGAGGGCCCTGAAACACCGGCAGGCTGGTCTCTGGGGATCTGAAACCCGAGAAACAAAGGTAACTCCACCCACCTTTCCAACTCCATCCAACCTCTCCCTGGAAGAGTTATTATTTTTTTTAATTTTTAAATGTTTTATTTTTATTTCTAGGAGAGAGAGAGAGACAGCGTGAGCAGGGGAGGGTCAGAGAGAGAGGGAGTCACAGACTGAAACAGGCTCCAGGCTCTGACCGGCAGTCAGCACAGAGCCCGACGCGGGGCTCGAACCCACGAACCGCGAGATCATGACCTAAGTGAAAGTCGGACGCCCAACCGACTAAGCCACCCAGGCGCCCCTGGAAGAGTTATTTTTTGACCCTGGTGCTCTCGGAGACGTCAGGACCTAAAAGGGACTTCCAGGAAAGGTGCTGGACCCCTGGGGCCGCACCGGGGTACCTCACCAACTAGCAAGTGGCCCCAGGGCCTCTTAGGTGTGGGGTGTAAATCCTGTATGGGTGACTTCCCCTCTCTGAGCCTCTATTCTATTTATTGAGCACGTAGGATGTGCCACCTAGTTCTAAGCATTTTGTCCAAGCGAAAATCTTTGGATGGGGAGAGAGGAGCGTCCTGCCTGCCCGGGGTCCTCCTAAAAGCTAATAAAGCAACGGTGGCAAGGTACTTTATAAAACAGGAAAGCATCCGGGGAACTTTCACGGTTTGGTCTTTTTCCGCTCGGCATCCTGAGAAGAAAGGGTGTTCTCCCCATTTCACATATGGTGAAACTGAGGCTCAGGAAAGCAAAATGCTTTTTCCAAGGGAGGTGGGAGAGCCAGGGGCTGGTGTCTGCGCTTGGCAGGTGGGGGGAGGGGTGGAGCCGTGACACCCGTGCGGGGCGGGGCGCGCAGGGGCGGGGACCCCAGGGGCGGAGCGCAAGAGATGGTGCAATCCCGGGCTGGAGCGCATCAGGCGGCGGCGGCGGATTAGCGCAGGTTTGCATCACCCGGGCCCGGGCCGGGGCCGGAGCCGGCGCTGGCGCCGGGAGACACTCGCAGCGGAAGCGGCGGCGGCTCCACACGTGTCCGGCTGCGGGGACCGGGGTCCCGAGCACAGCCGCGTCTCAGCAGGCCCCGCGTCACGTGGGAGTGCCCTGGCGACCCAGGACACCGCAGCACTCCCGGGCAAGGTACCCTGCGGGGCGGGAGAGGGGTCGGGCCGGGGGTGAGGGGCGGACAGGCTGGAGGGCGCCGACCTGGGAAGGTGGAACACATCCTGGGGGCGGAGGGGGCCGGGGACAGAGGTCCGGGAGTGTCGCCCCGAGAGGTGAGCGTGGGGCGGAGGAGGCGTGTGTGTGAGGGGCCCGCGGGGGGTGCTGAGGACTGTGTAGGGTCTGTGTCACCCTGGGGTGTGTCTGCGGGAGCCGCGGGGGCCTGCGGGGTTGGAGGGGATGTGTCCTCGCGCACGGTGAGAGCTGTGAGGAGCTGGTGGCACGTGTGGGCTGTGCAGGGGACACGGCCGGGGCCGGGTTGGGGTACCCTCGGGGCGAGTGCAGTGGGAGTGGGGTGCGGGACCCCAGCCGTAGTTACGCACCTGGCGCTGCGGCTGCGGGGTGCAGGTTGCACTGCGTGCGCGTGTGTCTTGTCCCTGCGGACCCCGGGGTGTGAGGGGCGAGGGTCCAGGTCCGCCCCTTCTCACAGCCCAGGGGCCCAGCCTCCTTCCCTGGCCTCCCCCCCTCCCGCTGCTTGGTTTCCGCTGACTCTTCGACCTCGGGACACCCGCTGCTGCCCGCGGCTTCCGCTCCCACGGCAGGGGCCTGGCTGCCGGAGGCGGGGCGAGGCTGCCCGGGGGGGCGGGGCACGTGTCAGACCTTGCCTGTGACCTTACAGGTATCGGTCATGGTGAGTGTGAGAGGTGGGAGCGCACAGTGTGTGTGTGCCTGCACACCTGCCCAAGGACGAGGAAGTGTGCGTCCCTTAAGGACGCGGGTGCCCCCTCTCTGCCCTGGCGGCTGTGTCTCCAACCCACAGTGAACTTTCTAGTCCTGCAGTGTGGCCTGCGAAGTCCTTGCTCAGCTACAATAATTCCACCTGTTCCCTGTGGCTCACCCCACGCCCCACCTGAGGCATGGATACAACCAAAGAAGCCTGGAGTGCCGATGTGGCCACAGTGAGAGAGAGCCGCTCCAGGGATATTCCCAAGGGTAGCACTTCAGCATCTGTAGCTAGAAATAATAGTAGTAGCAATGGACCTACCCTGGTGACCATTTACTGACACCTGCCCTGTGACAGGGCCACTCTAAATTATTTGTGTTTTCGTTTCATCATTGTAAAAATCCTATGGGCTTTGCATCCTGCTCCCACTTTACAGATGAGGGAACTGAGGCCGGGGAAGACTGCAGAGCTTGCCCAGGGCTACCCCGTCAGGCACGGACTGAGCCAGGATTTGAACCCGGGAATATCTGACTACAGCCACCCACTGTTGCATTCTTACTACGCTGGGATTATGGCCTTTCTCTCTATTTGAGGGCTCCCTCCCTCCCAAGGCAGCCCACCCCTCGGATTTGGGAGCAGGTGGTCCTCAGTCTGAGAACTGAATCTGAGTGATGTTTCCCCTTGGGAAGGTCTTTACCTGGGCGGAAGACCTGGAGGGACCCTCCTGGCTCTGACACGCCACGGTCCTGGGGGGTGGCTTCCTCCATCAATGAATGAATGAATCGTGTGGCCTGATTCCCAGAGCTTTGGGCCGTCAGGCAATAGTAAAGTTCACATATGAAAAAAAGAAATAACACTCGGTTTTGAAATACTCCAGCAATAAATGAATGCAGAACCTTTCTTGTAAAATCCTGAAATCGAAAATGCCCTTGACTCTCTACTAAATCCCTTCCTCCCTTGGAGGCCCCCCCCCCCCCCCCCCCCCCCCCCTCCCCCCCCCCCCCCCCCCCCGCAGGCCAGGAGCTACAGTGGCCGGTTTAGTGTGGGTTCTTCCAAAACTTGTCCTGTGCATTTACATAACTACATATATGCAAATATGGAGACACATTTTTTGATATGCTGATGCGGTGTTTTACATGAATGAACTCAGGGTGCGTCAATCGTACAGCAGCTTGCTCTGTTCACTTGACAGTATAGACAGTATATCCGTTCCAGAGCCTGCATTCATACATTCCTCATTCATGCCTCACCCCTCCCTCTCCCTGGCACACGCAATAGCTCCCTGCCCTCCAAAACTCAGCAGACAGAGTGCAAAGTCTCTCTTCCTCCCTCTCACGAGCAAGTCCAATTCTTCATTTGGCTTTGTTTTTTTTCCCACCTAACAGTTCACTCTAGAGGTCTTTCCACTTAGCACATCAAGTTTTTCTTTCTTTCTTTTAAGCTTATTTAGTTTATTTTTGAGAGAGAGCATGAGCACAAGTTGGGGAGGGGCAGAGAGAGAGAGAGAATCCCAAGCAGGTTCTGCACTGTCAGCACGGAACCTGATGTGGGGCTCAAACTCACAAACTGTGAGGCTATGACCTGAGCCGAAATCAAGAGTTGGACACTTAATCAACTGAGTCACCCAGGCGCCCCTCTTTTTTTTTTTTTTTTTTTAAGTAAGCTCTTAAAAACTTGGGGCTTCAACTTATGACCCCGAGATCAAGAGTCACATCCAAGGCACCTGGGTGGCTCAGTTGGTTAAGCATCCGACTCTTGGATTAGGCTCAGGTCATGATCACATGGTTCATGAGATCGAGCCCTGTGTCAGACTCTATGCTGACAGCATGGAGCCTGCTTGGGATTCTCTCTCTCTCTCTCTCTCTCTCTCTCTCTCTCAAAATGAATAAACTTAAAAAAAAAGTCTCATGCTTTATGGACTGAGCCACCCAGGTGCCCTCACTTTGCCCTGCAGTTTTCTTAATCTTGAATGGCTACAGCTGTTTCGTGTACGGATGCCATCTAATTTCTTTAACCAGTTCCCCAGTGATGGACATTGAGTCGTTTCTATCACATGGGCACAAGATAACCGTGTACTGACATCATTACATCGGTGTGCACCAAGCTCGCTGGTCCCCTTCCAGAGCCGGGTAGTATTTCACTGCGTGGCATGTACCATGATGTTTAGCCAGCCCCATACTGCTGGGCATTTGAGGGCGTTTCCGGCCCTTTGCTATTGGATGCAAGGCTCTGATGAACAGCCTTTGATGTGTTTAATTTTTTGGTGAGCATTTTAATTGGAGGATAAATTCCCAGAAGCGGGATACCCAGTGAAGGTTAAGTGCATTTGACAGTTTGATGCACACTGCCAAGTATCCTCTACGACAGCTAGGGAACAGCCTCACTTCAGTGCTTTTTCCCTTCTGTGTAGATGCGAGCCACCCCTCTGGCTGCTCCCGTGGCTGCCCCCCTCAGGAGGAAGAGGTTGGACTTGGACAATGACCTAGGCATGGAGCATCCCACCCAGAAACAGGCGCGAATCGGGCCCCAGCCCAGGCTGCCCCCCTGCGCGCTGCCCCTGAGCCCACTTCCTGCTACGGCCCACACCTCTGCTGGCACCACTGCCTCGCGCCTCGGTCCCTATGTCCTCCTGGAGCCTGGGGAGGGTGGCCGAGCCTACTGGGCCCTGCACTGCCCCTCAGGCGCCGAGTACACCTGCAAGGTACGTTCGCCCAGGGTCCTTCTCCCCCAGCAGCACAGCAGGCCTGGAAAGGGCCTTGGGTCCAGAGGATTGCCAGGGCTGAGGGGCCTTATATTACTTTATCCCTGTGTTTATTGGGGAGGCAGCCAGTGAGTCTCCAGCTTTCCACATCGCCTGGGCTTTTCCGGTCAGTGTGTGGAAGGATCTGTCTGTAGATTATCATCTATTCATTCATTCAGCAAACCTTCACTGAGTACCCTATGTGCCATGCACCCTGCTGTGGTTCAAACGTGGTAAAGATCTGCAGTAAACAAGGGAATAAGTAAAATCTGTACTAGGGGACCGTACGTGCCTTGGAGGGAAAGCCAGGAGCTGGGGGGGTGGGCAGGGAGCATGGGGGAGCAGGTGATTTTAGTTCAGAAAGACCTCTCCGAGGAGGTGACATTCAAGCAGTGACTTGTGTGAATCGGGGGAGCCAGCCCCGTGGGTCTCTAGGAAAGAGCGCTCCGGCAGCAGGACAGGCAAGTTCAAATGCATGGAGGCAGGGATGTTTACCCGGACTTAAAAAAAAAAAAAGTAGCCTCTGTTGTGTGTTTTTTTTTAAATATTTTTAATTTTTTTTCTTTATTTCTAAGAGAGGGAGTGAGACAGCATGAGCGGGGAGGGTCAGAGAGAGGGGGAGACACAGAATCCGAAAAAGGCTCCAGGCTCTGGGGTGGCTGTCAGCACAGAGCCCGACGTGGGGCTCCAACCCACGAACCATGAGATCATGACCTGAGCTGAAGTCGGCGCTTAACCGACTGAGCCACCCAGGTGCCCCACTAGTAGCCTCTGTTTTTTGAATTCTTTCTTCCATGCCACCCAACTGTTTGGTTTTCTTTTTTTTTTTTCTTTTGTTTTAAACATACGCTTTTTTTTTTTCATGAATTAATTATGTACGTGCTTTATTTTTCGTTTCTGGGTGGCATGGCCAAAATAACATGGGAAGGATTTAAAGGCAGACAGAGTCAGTATACCAGCTCTGCCTCTGATCTGAAGGATGTGACCTTCCCTCTCTGAACATCAGTTTCACCATCAGTAAAATGGGCCGCACCTTTCAGGGCATTGGGGAGGCTTCCATCTGACATCCGACCGCAGAGCCCTGAGCGCATTTTCCTACAACTCCGCCACACTCCCCCCCGCCCTCCCCTGCCCCACTCCAGCTGACCTGATCTTGGGCTGGTTTTCAAGAGCAGCTTAAACACTTTCTTGCCTCAGGGCCCTTGCACTGCCCATGTCCCCCACCTGGAAAGCTTATCCCATGGTTCAGCTCTGAATCATTCAGGTCACTTCCCCAGAGCCCCTTTTAGACCACACTTTTTCGGAGAGGTGCCCCCTTCCAAAATATTCTGATTCCAGCATCTTTCTAGTTGAATTTGTAAATATAATCAGTGTGTTGGCTTGTTTCCTGTCTCCTGTATTGGACTGTGGCCGTCAGGAGGGCAGGGGCCATGGCTGTCAGGTAGGATCCCCATGGCTGGCCCAGGGAACCCCGAAGTGCCTGCTTGTGGGGTGAATGAGAGGGCGGGCAGGCCGTGAATCCCAGAGAATGGTAGCTATGAGCATCGTGCCTGCTCTGCATAAAGTGACTTGTGCGCTATGTGCTCTTGGATTTCCCCAGCCTTGGGAGCTATTTTCCTTTGGCTTACCTGTTATATCCCAGTTACCTGAAGCTCAAGGGCATGTAAGGTAGCACTGGAGAGCACAGACAATGGAGCAAGATTCAGGTGTCAGGCCAGCCACTGGCAGGCCGTGTGGTCTCTGCACTTTGTCAGGGTGGAGTGACTTGCTGAAGCGCTTGGCATAGTGCCTAGCTCACAGGGGCGCCTAAACGGTTGGCTGTGACTGCCTCCAAGGCCAGCCCTGGGGGGCACCCACCTGTGCTCATGCCCTGTCCCCCCTCCCCCGGCAGGTGTACCCGGTGCGCGAGGCCCAGGCAGTGCTGGAGCCCTATTCACGGCTGCCCCCGCGGGGACACGTGGCACGGCCCGCTGACATCGTGGCGGGCCCCCGCCACCTCTACACCTTTTTCCCGCGGCCCCACGGGGACATGCACAGCCTGGTGCGCCGCCGCCGCCGCCTCCCTGAGCCCGAAGCCGCGGCGCTCTTCCGCCAGATGGCCGCCGCCCTGGCCCACTGTCACCAGCACGGCCTCGTCCTGCGCGACCTCAAGCTGCGGCGCTTCGTCTTCGCCAACGAGGAGAGGTGAGCGTGGTCACAGAGGTCCTACTCAGGCACGCGTAAGGGGTGAGCCATGGTGGGGAAACTGAGGCCCAGGAAGGGAAAGTAACTTACCAAGACATGGAGAGGCCTGGATTAGCACCTCGTCCTGGGTCCCAGGAAGAGGTTGACTCAGGCCTAATGGAGGCCTCTGAGGTGGAGCATTGCCTTTGTGACAGTCACAGTGGTGACAGTGCTAAAGAGCTTGGCTGCACTGTCCGACTTGGCTGGGACCCTTAGGGACAGGAGGCAGGCCCTATCATTGTTGCCGGAGGCCAGCAGAGGAACCGGGCCCAGAGAAGTCAAGTAAGGCCCAAGATCCCACAGCGAGTCTGGAGGCTCAACCGACTGAGCGGTGCAGGCGCCCCCTTCTACCTTTCACACTAAAATGAACATGCCTTTAGTCAGAAGTGGAATGCAAATTTTATAATGATTTTTAAGCTAATATGCAACTTCAGGTAACGTTGAACTTAGGGTGAGTTACAGCACCCACAGCCCTCCAAGGTGAGAAAGCCACCTCCTTGTCTTTTTAAGGCAATAGTTTGACAAGCACTATTCATAGAAGAGGGATGCTGGAGACGGATGTTCAAATCCCAGTTCTATTTTTTAACCTCCTCTTTGGCCTTGCTCACCTGCCCGAGCCTTGATTTTTTTCATCTGTCAAATGGGCCAAGAATGAAGACACCCCCACTACTCAGTGCTGTGATTCACAAGATTGGTCGGTGTTTGTGAAATGCCAGCAGGCACCCAGGAAGTGGTGTCATGGGAATAATATTAATAGCAGCAGTAATAGAGTGGTTATTATTAAAGTAACCCAGAACATTCTGTGGGAATTGCTTAAAGCAAAAGTTGCAAATGGTGGGCTATGCACACGTTTTTCTGCCCCCCGACACATGTTCATGTTTTAAACAATTTTTTTAACGTAAAACGTTTATATATTTTTGAGAGAGAGAGACAGAGGAATGAGCAGGGGAGGGACAGGGAGATGTGGAATCCGAAGCAGGCTCCAGGCTCTGAGCTGTTAGCACAGAACCCTACACGGGGCTCGAACTCACGAACCATGTGATCATGACCTGAGTTGAATCGACTGAGCCACCCATGCGCCCCAATATTGACAGTAATTTTGTTAGTGGTGCCCTTTTTATGTAGGGTTTGTATTGAGGTGTGTGACACGGTCCCCACTTCCTCTGTTTCTCATTTTGCTGCCTGCCTGGACCCTAAGTTTGCCTCTGGTTGAGAGGTTTAATGCCCCCGGCCCTCTCAGCCCCCTCTCCAAGGGACTGCTGGGAAACGTGCTCCTCCCAGAGCCCTAGTTCAAACTGATTTGCTCTGTGGCCTTGAGAAATGACTAATGTCTCTGAGCCTGAGCTTCCTCGTGTGTAAAATGAGATCCATCAACCAGCTTCACAGGCATGGCGCAATCCCTTTTTTTCTTTTTCTTTTTTAGAGTTTATTTATTTCGAGAGAGAGACCACGAGTGGGGTAGGGGCAGAGAGAGAGGGAGACAGAATCCCAAGCAGGCTCCACACTTTCAGTGCAGACCCCACTGCAGGGCTCGAACTCATGAACCACGAGCTCATGACCTGAGCCAAGGACAGAGTCAGCCACGTAACCAGCCGCGCCGCCCAGGCGCCCCAAGACTGGTTCGATTCTGCCAAAGGCCAGGAGGCGCTCGGGAAGTGGGTGCCATTAAGGGTGACAGCGTGTGGGGGCGTGTGTGGTGGCGGGGGGGGGGGGGGGGGGTGGGCCATCAGGAGCCGACCCCCCTCTCTCTCACCTGCCACAGGACAAAGCTGGTGCTGGAGGACCTGGAGGACGCCTGTGTGCTGAACGGCCCCGATGACTCCCTGTGGGACAAGCATGCGTGCCCCGCCTACGTGGGACCTGAGATCCTCAGCTCCCGGGCGGCGTACTCGGGCAAGGCGGCCGACGTGTGGAGCCTGGGCGTGGCGCTCTTCACCATGCTGGCCGGCCACTACCCCTTCCAAGACTCAGAGCCTGTCCTGCTTTTTGGCAAGATCCGCCGCGGTGCCTTTGCCCTGCCTGAGGGCCTCTCGGCCCCTGCTCGCTGCCTGGTCCGCTGTCTCCTTCGACGGGAGCCGGCCGATCGGCTCACGGCCACGGGCATCCTGCTGCATCCTTGGCTGCGCGAGATCCCGAGCCCCTCCGCTCCACCCCGAGCCCACCTCTGGGAGGCTGATCAGGTGGTCCCCGACGGGCCGGGGCTGGAGGAGGCTGAGGAAGAGGAGGGGGCCAGAGAAGCTGGTCTGTACGGCTAGGCAGCCCTTAGACGCGCCGCTGCAACGGTGGCTTGAGTTTGGGGTATCTCTGAGCTCTCTCCTGCCTTTTTTTTTTTTTTTTGCACTGAGCCAAACCTTAGTGCCTTCTAGAAGGGAAAGAGGGGGCATGCGTGGAGTGTGCTGGATGCATGCCTGTGTGGTTGCACACACCTGGGCACACAGGCTTGTGCATTTGACAGATCCTTCCTGGGAGCTCACTGCGGGCCACGCAGCATCCACTCGTGCCAGGGGCCAGGACTTCTGGCCTGGGACCGTCCCTCTCACAGATCCCGGTGCCAAAGGCTGCTGGCCTCTCTCTCTTGCAGCTCAGGACTCCGGAGCCCAGGCCATGCTGGGAACTGTGCTCCCAGCAGCTCTCTCCTCTGTCCAGGCCCAAGCCAAGGACTGGGCTGGAGGGCCTCCGGTCCAACTTTGAGGCTGGTCCTCACCTCATTCAAGGAGTGGTTTGGGGTGAGGGCCCACGCCCGTCCCCCTCTGGCCTGAGCACCAGAGTTGGAGGGTGGAGGAGGCAGGGTCTTCTCCCCCCTTGATCCCCCAGGAACGTCCCAACCCCTGTTCTGGGTTTTGGATCAATACCATGGGTTTTGGATGCCCTAAGAATCCATTTTTACCTTGTGCCTAATAAAGGAGTTATGAGATACTTTAATTTCTCTGCGACATTTCTTCTAGCCCCTCTCCTCCCCATCCCTTACCGGTTCTCCTTGCCCCGGGGCTAAAGGCCAGAGGCTTGGGTCTCAATCTCGGCCCAGTGGTCCCTGCCGTCCAGCGTCTGGAGCCTGGAACCTGCTTCGGATTTTATGTCTCCCTCTCTCTCTGCCCCTCCCCGGCTCGTGCTCTGTCTCTTTCTCTCTCTCAAAAATAAATAAACATAAAATAATAATAATGGAAGTAAAAGAAGGAAATGTATTTCACACAAAGCAAGAAGTCAGGAGATGGGATGGGCTTCTGGGCTGGACAATTCGGCCCTCAGAACTATCAGCAAGGGCTCTGGCTCTCCGGGGTCATTCTGTCCCTGCTCTGTCGACCCTGGTGACCACGGGCACGATGGCCACAGCAGTCCTAGGTGCCACATAAGAGATCCATGACCAGAGGGAGCAGGAGGGTGGCACGGAAGTACCAGAGAACTCAGTACTCTAGCGTCAGGTTGCCTGGAATTAAATCCTGGCTCCCACACTAGCTGTTTGCCCCTCTGTTTCTGAACCACTCTACTCTATACCTTGGATTACTCATCTCCGCGGTGAGGGAAACGGTGCCCAACTCTTCAGCATTCAGTGAGTGATTTCCCATAAAGCACTTAAACCCTCCAGAAGAGTTAGCTGTCATTAGGTTCCCCATAGCTTTTTCTTGGGATGGCAAAAGCTTTCCCAGAAGCCCTCCTAACAGCCTTTCCCACGTAGCTCATTGGCCAGAGCTGGGTCACATGCCCTTTCCTGACCAATCACCAGCAAGGGAAATCCACTCACACTATTAACGTGCCAATCCCCCAGCTGTAGGCGGGTACAGCCCTCCCTGCCCCCCCCTCCCCCGAAGGCTGATGCTACCTGTGGCAGGGGAGATGTCACCTGAGCAAAATCAAATTCTGGGAGGAGGGAGTGGGAGAAAGCACGAGAACTGAGGTCAGTAGGCTGCTGGCTGCAGACATGAGGAAAGCCATCCTAGGTCATCCAGCCACTAATCCGCAAATGCAGAGATCGGCAAGGCTGGCCGAGACCGGAAGACTTGCCCAGCTGACCCACAGAATCATGAGTTTAAGTGATCGTTGTTTTAAGCCACTGAGTTTTGGGGTGCTTTGTTATGCGGCAAAAGCTAACTGATAGACATGGACAAGTCAGTCACATCTCTGTGCAGTCAGCATTGCCTAGGGCAGGGCCCAATTGTGTTTAGGGGCTCAAGGGGAAGTCCCCCAGGCTTTCCCCTTTCCCCTCCCGGCTTACACCCAGAGACCCGCCTGTAATTCCCAGGACGACCCTGAAAGGGAAATGCGCCTGTCGCTTTACAGGTAAGAAAAATGTGGTTTAGAGAGAAGACTCTTCCAAGACCACACACCAGACAAAAAGCAGGAGCTTTTTGACAAGGCTGCTCGGTCACACGCGCATGAAAACGGGCAGTAAAAAAAAAAAAAAAAAAAAAAAGGCCGCTCTTCCCACGCAATGCGCATGGCCGCCGTTACTGAGAACTTTCAGGTTCTACTTATACAGATAATGATCATATTGTGATCATTATGAGTGTGGATGGATATTATGAGTATGGATATTATGAGTATACTGCGAGGGAAGGACTCTGGGAAATCTAATTGAGGACTTTATAACTGGGAGCAAAGCACAGACGGTAATATTGCGGCAGCCCTATCGTGTATTCATTCACTTAGCGATCAACCACTGTTAGGGATGGCGGCTGTGGGCCAGGAATCGTGCCAGATGGACTCGGTCTGACAGAGGAACCAGATGTCAAACAAGTAACCACGCAGATTAAAAATCGAATTACATCTGTGCTTAGGAAGTTCTTTGTGACTTGGGTGTCACCAAATATTTTGGGTGCTCCCCTGCCTGCTCTGGACCACCCATTACAGTCAGTGACTGATTCTGACCAATGGTGTGTGTGTGTGTGTGTGTGTGTGTGTGTGTGTGTGTGTGTAAATGCCCACTGCGGGGAGGTCCCTTCGGCGGTAAGGCCACTGAGAGCTGGTGAGCCGCCATCCCTCTCGTCTCTAACACAGCCACCCTGAGGCCACGGTTCCCTTAGCTACCAGATGAAAGAGGACCACCCGATCCACACTGGATTTTCCTGAGCAAGACGCGAAGCTTCCTGTGTGAGATCTGGAGTTTGTCTGTTGGGCTGTTAGCGTTAATTACCACGACTAAGGAAAATGTGCCCCAAGTGAAGGGAGGAAATCCGCCCCCCCCAACTAGGGTGTAAGCAGTTTTTGGTGCATTACAAACCCCAAAATTTAGCGGTCCCTGAATTTCTGGTTGGGCTTAGCTGGCTCATTCGCACCGTGGCAGGCAGCTGATGCTTAAAAAATATATATATATTTATTTTGAGAGAGAGAGCGAGCAGGGGAGGGGCAGAGAGAGAGGGAAAGAGAGAGAGAATCCCAAGCAGGCTCCACGCTCAGCACAGCCTGACCTGGGGCTCGATCTCACAACCATGAGATCATGACCTGAGCCAAAATCAAGAGTCAGTTGCCTAACCACGTGAGCCATCCAGGCGCCCCAGACAGCTGCTGGTTAGAGGGGTGCCCGGGCCCACTCGTAGCCCCGTTGTCGTCAGCCAGCAGGGCCATGGGGAGGCCGGGCTGGGTGGCTCACCTCTGCTGCAGGCCTCAGCCTCCAACAGGCTTAGCCTTGGCTCCTCCTGTCGTGCTCTTGGGTTTCAAAAAACAAGAGAGGGCAGGGGCCAAGGTGGCTGCTATTCTTGTGTCACGTCTGCAAATGTCCCATTGGCCAAAGCGTGTCACATCCCAGATTCAGGAAGTGGGAGAGTTCTCCCTCTTTTTTTTTTTAATGAAAAAAATTTTTAATGTTTATTTTTGAGAGAGAGAGAGAGAGAGAGCAAGCAGGGGAGGGGCAGAGAGAGGGAGACACAGAATCAGAAATAGGTTCCAGGATCCGAGCTGTCATCACAGAGCCCGATGCGAGGCTCGAACCCATGGACCTTGAGATCATGACCTGAGCCAAAGTCGGACGCTTAACCAACTGAGCCACCCAGGCACCAGGCACCCCTCAATTCTCCCTCTTGATGGGTGGAGCTGAAAATAATTTATGGCCTTTGATTGATTGATTGATTGATTGATTGTAATATACAACATGAGATACACGTGATCAACTCAGCTGACCTCCGTGTACCTAAAACTGCCCCTGCAGGTTGTGTGTCCTGGGACAAATTGCTTGGGTCTCTGGGCCCCAGCCTGTGCCCCTCCTCTCTGTGTGCTGAGCCCTGCCCCGCCTTGGAGGCTGGATCCCAGACTTTGTAAGAGTGGGCCTGGCCCTGCCCTGCACCACTGGCTCACGCTGAACAGAGTCTCAGAGGCGGTGGGTCAGTCCCTTTTGGTGCTTGTTTACAAGGCAGATCCCCGAACTCTCTCCTGACCTGTGAGTCAGCCGGCCTTGGGTTGTGCGCCTTAACAAGCCCCCCGGTGATGCTACTGGACATCCCATTTGGAAAACCTCTGAACTTGGCGATATCCTGACCCTTTGGGGACTCAGAACTCATCTGGGCTCCTCTCCGAGCTTGTTTGACCCCCGCCCAGGTATAAAATGGGTGGGGGGGGGGGCACCTGGGTGGCACAGTCAGTCAGACTTCCGAATTCAACTCTGGTCATGGTCTCACAGTTTGTGAGCTCGAGCCCCAAGTGGGGCTCTGTGCTGACAGTTCGGAGCCTGGAGCCTGCTTCGGATTCTGTGTCTCCCTCTCTCTCTGCTCCTTCCCTGCATGTGTTCTCTCAGAAATGAATAAACATTTAAAAAAATTTTTAAAAATGGGTAGAAGCCCCACCTGCCTGTGAGGCCAGGATGGGCTCACAGCTACTAGGGGGCTTTCTCAGGGGTCAGAGCTGAGCTGCTGTACCCGCTTTCCCTCTGCCATTAGCTGGCTGTGTGGGTCTTCCCAGCACTGAGCACCACGTGGCAGGACACTCTATGTCTGTTGTTTGCGGGGCTTTCATAAGGCCCAGGGCTATGTTTTGTTCACAGCGGTCTCCCCGGCTCCTAGAAAAGTGCCTGGCACACGGAGCTGCTCGATAAATGTTGAATGACTCAATGAAAGTGGTCGCTGTGCAGATCCTATGGCGCCCAGAACAAAGCACGACACTGGTTAGGGATGGCTAGTGTTTGCTGAGGACACATCACATGACCCAGGGAGCCACCACCCAGAGGAGGGGCTCATTTGTCATTTTCTTTTATTTTTTTCACGTTTTTTATTTATTTCTGAGAGAGAGAGACAGTGTGAGCAGGGGAGGGTCAGAGAGAGAGGGAGACACAGAATCTGAAGCAGGCTCCAGGCTCTGAGCTAGCTGTCAGCACAGAGCCCGATGTGGGGCTCGAACCCAAGAACCGTGAGATCATGACCTGAGCCGAAGTCGGACGCTTAACCGACAGAGCCACCCAGGTGCCCCTCATTTGTCATTTTCATAAGCAGCTGGGTTCTTCGGCTTGGATGTCACAAACTCCTGGGTCCCCCGTGTGTAGACAGGACAAAACACTACAAATGGTGGCATGACCTCAAGGACACATGCCCGAGTATGGCCCGCATGCTGGGGATGGCCTTGCTGCAGTGGTGCAGGGAGGCGTGGTGCTCCCAGGGCGACAAACCCCTAGGTGGCCACGTGCTGTGTCCCTGTCAGATTCCGGAACTCGTGGCCTGGGGTCACGGCGGTGCCTCACTCCTGCACAGGGGTCACCCCGTCCTCCCCAGTCGTGAGAACCACTGTCTGCCTGGAGGAGTGAGGCTGGGCCACAAACCGTATCATGGCTCTTGCCTTGCTTTCCAGGATCCTCTGCTCTTGGGGAAGCCAGCAGTCATGGTTCAAGGACACTTGAGTAGTCCTCTGGGGAGGTCCGTGTGGCAAGGAATTTAGACATCCTACAAATTGGCAGCACCAACCGGGTATAGGGTGGCTTGCTTGAAGGTCCATCCTCCACCCCGGTC